TGGTTACACCTACTATTGGTCGGGCCGTGGCGGTGGTCATCACTTCCAGGAATTAGCTATAGCCATTTCCAGCTGACTTCAACCCTCGGTAGTTGAGGTAACACCGGTTGAGAAACTGAAGCATGCTTTTGGCTTTATGTCACTTATTGCTGTGTACCTCGTACTGATGTTTGCAAACTTGATGTGAAAGAAGTGTTATATGCCAAACTCACATCCATGGCAGACAGTGGCCCCAAGCAAGACATTCGCATTGTTTTGGGCGACTTCAATGTGGCATCCCGGCTATGATTTACCTGGCTTCAAGATGTCTGTTGGCATCCATGACTCGGGAGTTGATTCCAGCAGCAAGAACAGCCTCCTTCTCCGGGACTTTGCTATACCCAAGAGAAAGAGGATTTCTGGTTCCTGGTATCAGTTCTTCAACCCACATCGCTGGACATTGTATAGTGATATGGGTAACAAGGAGTGTGCCTGTCTGAGTCGATTGGCGTATGCCCGGCCAAGACCATGATTCAGGACTTCGGGGGCCTATTTGGTCGATCCATGCTTGTGGAGAGGACGTTGAAGTCACAGAGAGCTTTGCATACTTAGGTAGAGTAGTCCATATCTCTGAGAAAGGAAAAATTTAATCTCCCTGGAGGCACTGGAGGCTACTGAGGTATGTCGCATGGCTCAGTTGAGTGTCAATCAGGACTTGCATCGCTCTTTGGTGCATAGGGCTAGGACACTGCTGAAAAGGGAGAAGGAACAGTTCATCAGCAATCTTGCTGAGGAGGTTGAAGGTCATTCTAAGTCCTCCTTGCAGATGATTGCAGTCTGCTCAGAGAATGGATAGATCATCTCCGATCATGTTGGAGTATGTAAACACTAGGGTTGAGCATTTTGAGCAGCTGTACCTGGTAGATCCTCTCACAGTTAGCTAGGATGCAAGTGGTATCACAATACTGTGCCAGACCCACCCATCAGCGAAGAAACCTCCTATCCTAAATGAGGTGAGGATGGCGATTTCTAAGCTGAGTGGGAAAGCCACTAATAGCAAGTCTACATACCAGTATTGAAAGTTCTGTAAAGTGAGGTGGGGGCTTGTTGAATTTCACTGTTAATTTAGGGGTGAGGCAAGGCTGTGTCCTTGCACCAACAATTTTCAACACCTGCATGGACTAGATAATAGGCAGAGGTACTATCCAAAATCAGTGTGGAGCAACACTGGGTCTCTGACCTTGACTTCTCCAACTATGTTCCTATCCTATCTAAGTCTCTTGAGTTACTGGTGGCGGCTCTTGAAGCATTTAGCATTAAGGCGAAGCCCTAGGGCCTAGAGGTCTCTTGGACCAAGACCGAGGTTCAGGACTTTGGGGGCCTGTTAGGGGAATCATTCGGTCGATTCATGCTTGTGGTGAGGATTCTGAAGGCACAGAGAGCTTTGCATACCTTTCTAGGGTAGTCCTTCTCTCTGGGCTGTCAGACCAAGAAGTCAGTAGATAGATTGGCCTGGCAGCAGAAGCCATGAACTCGATCAACAAGATCATTTAGAGATGTTGGTACCTATGCAGAAAGACCAAGCTACATGTCTTCAAGGCCTTGATACTGCCAGTTTTGCTCTATGGAAACGAAACATGGACATTATCTAGTGCCTTGGAGTCTTGTCTTTATGTCTTTTGTAACAAGTCTTTAACAAGACTTTGGGTACAGTTGGCAAGACCATGTGTCCAACCATCGGCTACACCGTGAGACTGGCATGGGACCTGTTACTTACTAATCCGTGATCACCAACTCAGGCATGGGCACCTAGCTCATTTCCCTGTGGATGACCCTGTCCATCAGGTTGTCCTGGGTGGAGGAGGCCCGTGGGACGACCTATCGCGAAGAATTAGAGATGGGCCGAGGGCCTACCTGGTGACTCGCCATGAGGGGAATGCGGCCATGCGCCCCCGTCGGCGTTAGCTCCTTGATGATGATATATATCATATACATTTATATATATATATATGTGTGTGTGTGTGTGTGTGTGTGTGTGTGTGTGTGTGTGTGTGTGTGTGTGTGTGTGTGTGTGTGTGTGTGTGTGTGTGTGTGTGTGCACACACATATATATATGTATATATATATATTCATCTCTCTCTCTCTCTCTCTCTACCAATATATATATATATATACACACACGCACAGATATACAAACATGCATACACACACACACACACACACACACACACTCACATGCACACGCACACGCACACGCACACACACGCCCACGCCCACGCCCGCGCCCGCGCCCGCGCCCGCGCCCGCGCACACGCACACGCACACGCACACGAACACGCACACACACACACACACGCACACGCACACATATATATATATATATATATATATATATATATATATATATGTATATATATATATGTATGTTTATATACACACACACACATACACATACACATATAGATGTAGATATAGATGTGTGCATAGATAGATTGATAGAAGTAAATATACATCAGAAATTGTTGTCTCATTTTCAATAAATCTATTTTGTGGGAGAGACAGGAGCTCACCGCGGCTGGGACACGTTCGTACATATTCCAACAAGTAATGCACTGGCTGTCATCCTCCCAATGTTCTTTTTCTTTATTCAGTTCAATAGTGACTTTTCGGGAGTGAGGATGGCTCCTTCCGACAAAATGAGGGAAGTTGACAGTAGGCTGTGATTATTATTGTTATTTTTTTTTTATTCAAGAGGAAGTGCCACAATTGTTTCATATGGTGGTGAGGACAGTATTAGGGGGCAGTGTCATATCCTATTCCACTGTTAAATGTTGGGCTGCTCTCTTCCTGCAGGGCCGAAACTCGTGTGCGGATGACCCCCGAAGTGATGATCCATCAAATGCAGTCACCAAGGGAATTGTGGCCATGGGGGATATCCATTGTCATCCATTGTCATGGATAATTGCTGAAGATCAGTGTGATACATTGCTTCTCAATCGGGGATCTGTAATGGATCCGTTATTAGCATCTTGCATAATTACCTCAACCCTCCCGTTGGGCCCTAGAATGCTGACGCCTTGAGCAGAAAAAGAACCGGATAATGACTTCTGTGGAGATGTTGACCCTCATGAGAGGGGATCCGGAAGGATTCATGGCCCGAATCGTAACCCAGGATGAAACGTGGGTTCCTCTCTTCAATCCAGGAATTAAAGTCGAATCTAAGCGATGAATTCATCCTTCCTCTCTAACGCCATGAAAATTCAAAATCACGAAGTCATCCTCATTGTGACATATTTTGGGCTCCTCCTCGTGGACTTGTCGGATCATAGTTGCACCTTCAACGGATCATGCTATGCTGATATACTGGGGAGACTTCGGGAAGCTCTGCATGAGAAACGCCGAGGAAAAATGACTATTTGTTCTACTCGCAGGACACTACGCCTGTACACGGAGACCATCATCAAAGTGGTCCTGCGGCTTCGAACTGTTGGCCTATCCCCCTTATCCCTCCCGATCTGGCACCCTCTTAATTTCACCGTTTCCCACGCATGAGAAAGCGGCTATATATATATATATATATATATATATATATATATATATATATATATATATATATATATATATATATATATATATATACATATATATACATATATATACATATATATACATATATATATATATATATATATATATATATATATATATATATATATATATATATATATATATATATATATATATATATATATATACACCCAAACACACACACACACACACACAGTGAGAGAGACTACAGTTTCGAAATCCACAAGGTCTGAAGAGGAAAGAGGAGGGGGTATATATATATGTATACACACACACACACATTATATATATATATATATATATATATATATATATATATATATATATATATATATATATATATATAAATGTTTATATATATGTATATATATGATTTACGCATACATATGCATATATGTACATACAGACATATATATATATATATATATATATATATATATATATATATATATATATATATATGTGTGTGTGTGTGTGTGTGTGTGTGTGTGTGTGTGTGTGTGTGTGTGTGTGTGTGTGTGTGTGTGTGTATACAGACATATATATATATGCATACATGAATATATGCGTTGAGATATAAACGTCTCGATCTGCCGATTAGTAGTCAAGAGTAGTTGTCATGTCAACGGGGTCATACACGCGGAATCAGCGTGGGATGTTAATGAGTAGTGTTTATCTTTTAATGCCATTAGCATATGTTTTCTTTTGATATGATGAGAGGGCAATCAACAGCGATGCATTATCCAAAGAAATGGAGAAATGGACAAAGCAACTTCAGCCTGCCAGCAACTATCACTGTGCTGGCATCATTTCTTGACTATGAATTTATAATTGCTCTTTGTGTTTAAATTATCTTTAACGTTATATTTGCTTTTACAATACACATTCACATCATTTACATCCTTTCTTCTTAATACTGGTTTACTCTTTTTGATGTTCTGATGATGTCACACACACACACCCACACACACGCACACGCACAAAAACATGCGCACGCACACACACACACACACACACACACACACACACACACACACACACACACACACACACACACACACGCATACATATATCTATGGTAGACAAGAATAAGTTAGTGTAGATACGCAACATTGCAAATATTTACAGTTCATGCTGTTAAATCGCTTAGTAACATCAACACCAAAATCAAGGAATCAGAGGACAAGTCAAAGTCGGAGTACTAGCAAGATGCAAGAAATAGCTCATTCAAAATATGTAGATGTGATTATATATGCAATTCCGAAAGTTTCGCCTTATCTTGTACATATGTAACATTGGCTATCCAAAATATAACAAGGAATAGAGACAGATTCGCCAGAATGGTCGACTATCAGCCGACACTTCGGAGTCAACACGTGACATCAGCTGCCGCCGGCATCGTGACCTCGACCTTGTCTATAAAAGGGTGGGCGTCCCTCTCGCTCCTCCTACTTCTCCGTGTCGCCACCTGACTGACTAACTGCTGCTGCGTCGGCGTCATTATGAAGGCCTTGATTCTGCTCCTTCTCGGTGAGTGTTCGGAGAGGGAAAGCAGTGGACTTCGCCGGTATTGTTGCTCCGGCATACATTCTAAAAACATTAGTTGTCAGTCATGTAATGCAAAAGACAAACTGTATCAACTTGTGTCACTGATAGTGCTAATTATGATGACCTTTCACTGTGGTTATTACCCACCGTGATTTAAAATATAACTAATATTGATATGCGCTCTGTGTTGTAACTCTAAAATGTGTGGCTTCTACCAGGGGCGTGCCAGGCCCTGCAGCCGGGCTTGGAGTACCAGTACAGGTACAGCGCCCGGGTCGCCAGCGGGATACCAAGCATCAACAGGCAGTTCGCAGCTGCAGGGATACAAGCTGACGTCACGGTCCAGATGGCTGCAGATTACTCGTTTGTGGTGCAGGTCAGCATGAACTTGACTTTCCTTCTCTTTAAAAGGCAAAGAGGCTATAACTATCATATGGTTTAGACAATAGAAGCAGTGCTAGCGTTTTTTATCATCAATATGCACTTACATTGATGAAATAAGAACTCATTTCCTAAACTGCCAAGTGAAATATTCGAATCCTTCACCAATACGTTTTCTGATGCTGAGTATGACGTCACCTTCTCCCTTCCAGTTCAGCAACATCGAGGTTGGAGACTTGAACAAGGTCCTGGACTGCGACCTACGAGCTCCTCTGCCCATTGAGTACCACCCCCTGGAGGACTACGTCGACCTCCTCGAGAAGCCTTTCAGGGTCGTCATGAACGAGTCAATTGTGAGTGACAAAGCTGTCAATGTTTGCAGTGCGACAAACTTATATTCCATTATAATCGACAACAAATCCGGGAACTAGGGCTATGATGAAAGAAGTTTGTACATGCGTGCATTCAGAATGCCTTTCCCCATCAGGTCCCAAGCTTCATGGAAGGGCCTGAGGAACCCGTCTGGATCTCCAACGTAAGGAAGGGCTTCGTCAACATCTTCAGAGTGCCGTTGTTCTGGGTAAGACGTGAATTACTGTAGTCGAGTCAATCTGTGAGATATATTAGTTGACAGTTATTACAGGACGTAGTTAAATAAGTTTAAATCCGAGATATAATTTGAGGGCGAGGCCTGCATGAAATGGCTCTATGGCTTTTCTGATAGGGTTACTCTGCCTTTACAGGATACTGAATTACAATCTGCCAAGCTTAACTACGGTGCTGTCGAGGAAACTCTGGTTGGACGTTGCCAGAACTGGTAAGTCTCTAAAAGGATCATTATATTTGTGTGTTTCTGTGTGTGTGTGTGTATTTGTGTGTGTATAGTGTATCAAATCGGTATTATATGCCTGCGTGGCCCCCACGTGGAGGCTTGAAGTGGCCACGTGGTGCCCATGCGGCCTACCCAAGCAGGCGTGCCCATAACGGCTGGGGCTTTCCTACTCGCCCCCCCAGAGTGTGCCTGCTGCTGGCTGACCCCTGGTCGGCAGCCTGTCCGGCTCAGGTCAGGGCTGGCCGTCCCCTCCCAGCTGACCGTGCGACACTCCAGGGTCATACTTGTGTTAACATCTCGTGTGCTAGCTCTATCAATAAGAGCTTTTAAGCCACTAAGCTTTTACTACTTCCCTGTCACCAATGTTTAGAGGTCTTATATTAACCCTTACAGTGTGTGTGTGTGTGTGTGTGTGTGTGTGTGTGTGTGTGTGTATGTGTGTGTGTATGTGTTTGTTGTTTGTGTGTTCTATGTTGGGAGGGGGGTGATGAGTTTGTCGTATATGTTTGTGCATTAGATCACAGTGACATCATGTACCTCAGTTTTGGAAAGGCTTTTTAAATACCAGCCAGCATCCCTGTAAGCCTCTATACATAAGCAACAAGTACAAGCAGGTAGTGGAATGAGATAACATACGAATGATTCCCTCTTTTCTTTCTTTTCAGGTACACGTCACTGAAGTTACCAGTGAACCTGGCTGAAGAGGTCAATGTCCAACGAGAACACTTCA